AGAGAGAGAGAGAGAGAGAGAGAGAGAGAGAGAGAGAGAGAGAGAGAGAGAGAGAGAGAGAGAGAGAGAGAGATGCTTCCACCAATGGGTGTTCATCCACATGGTCCCGTCATACCTGCTGACATCTTAAGAAGAACAACCGGTTCTCTTTGGACAAGATAGTATCAGAGCTCTTGCAGCCGACACACATCACATACTCCGCTGCAGGGCAACCAACCAAGGAAGCAGACACGTTCATTAGATCTCTCCATTAGAGATTCTTGCAAACCACCTAGCACAGACAGCATGCTTCTAGAACTGGACAGAACCCTTTGACAATTACGGTCCTAGGGAGTGCTGGCCAAAGTAAAAGCTGGAATGTGATTCTCAATGACAACATCAAAATAACGATTTTGATCGTACAGACAGGTTTTCTGGCCGCCTTGCTTGGGAAGATGCTGCTTCACAATAGGTCTACTACAGGGTTGTGTCGCTGCAACGAAGAGATGACCGACGATCCAGGTCATCTGCAACACTATCTGCACGAGGTTGATATTCCCAACAGGAGATTGATGTGGCTTTCAATCACTGTTCGAGATCTTCCTCCGTTGTGAAGCAAGAACCGTTCAGATGTCAGCAAACAACGATTTGCGCAAAGCCGAAGGGGAGATTGACATGGCGTTCAATCACTGCTGGACTTTCAACATCACCGTTTTCCTGAAAGTCAGCTCTCAGAGGCTCGCCGAGTGAGCTTCTTGGCAAGTACTGCTGTGCTCATTCGGAGCAGAGGTCAGTAGGAACTTTCTTTCTTTTTAAACAACTTTCATATTCCAAGCCATGAATCGGGCTGACCTGCCCTAGGTAAAATACAATATTGCAGTCGTTTGCTCACCTCCTTTATCTGCTTCGAGTGCAGTTCGAACTCAGGTCTGCACTTCAACAGTTCAGGGGTGTACAAAAGGAGCTAGGGAAGTTCTTGTTGAAAATTGCGTTTCATAAGTGGACAAATTGTCAAGTTCTTGTTGAAAATTGCGTTTCATAAATCGACAAATTGTTGTTATTGTCAACGGTACAACTGGACTTCAACTGTCACCAATTGATTCCAACATGAATGGACATGCGTCTGAGCTCGGTTGAGAATTCCTTTCCCACGTCACGCAAATTCAAGAATAGCGCCCAGAACCCAGCCGCTGCAGATGACTGGCACAGCCATCAACTGTTGACGAACAGACCCCGGTTCAAATTCGCATCCCCATGGGATCAGACAAGTAAAATAATTCTGAATATCCTTTAGGCAGGCCAGTTCGATGGTAATATCTCGGGGTCATTACCCTGAGGAAAAGACATTGAAAGACCCCGAGGAAAAGACGTTGAAAGAAAATCACGAGTAGACCTGAGTTGATATAGTCGCCAGGATTTCAAAACAGGAATGCAAATCCACTTACTCATGTAACGACGAAGAACTCCTTCAAAGACCTTGGGCAAGAATCGCCCCTTACAAATCAACCTTTGTTGCCCATCCAGCGATCCTGTGGTTCCCAGCTCAGCCAGTAGGAATGCCATAACATGCTCTGCCTGCCGATGCATCCTGCAATCAATCATCGATCCAAGCAGACGAAACCACCACATCTTATTGAGCACGGGGCCGCATCAACCTTCAAGCAAACAGTTTTAATAATACACATCACAGGCAGGGTATTTCAGCATCCTAACTCTCCGCCATCCTCACCCTGCCCAACCCTCAACAAACTAAGTACCCCGAAATTGACAGAGATTGCTGCTTGATGGAACGGACCGGGGATGTCTGCCGCACGTTACAAAAGAAGACGCCATTTAGTCACCGCAGAACCAAATCAAATGCAACATAGATGCTTTGTGGGGACTTCGCCGGCATAGAACATTGCTCCACTGCCCTCTGCATGCACAAAAGGGGAAAACTATTACTGCGCATCTTCATTCTCAATTATCAGCACATTCGGTGAGTAGACGAGCGAAGCCCATAGTATCGTATGCTAACAAGTAGGGCCCGCATTGCACCACAATTAAAACTACATAAAAAGCAGCCCACTAAGACCAGAAAATTTCCAAATAGCCCAATATCTAAACACTCCAACCTGACACACGGGGTACCC